CAACATCGCTCAAATGCTATAGACGCGAATGCAGCAGCAGAAGGCCAGTCCCGATCAATACCAGTCTGTGTGACTGGGCAACACCTACCATCCTATTTCCCCCATACTTCCAAGCGGCCAGCGCTCATCGAGCGAGTGTTCGCGGACGACAATCGATCGGCGCCGACCGCCTGCGGCTACGTTCGCGTCTGTAGCTTTGGAGCACTGTTACAACTAAAGCACATCGACGCGCGTCGTCGCACGCTACAGCGCGTCTACGCGCGTCATCGCGAATTCTGAGCGTTGCCTCATTTTATCTGGCGAAGGGATACATATGCGCGATCGAGTGGTCCCTCTACCAAAACAATTCAGCGCCATTCAATTTATAACTATACGCTAATGATGGACAGTGTCACAAAGTACGTAGCGGCTCCAAAATTTCAAGCTGTTATTGTTTGATACTTGTGTGTTGTGTTACTGTTTGATACTTGTGTTTGTGCCATAGCCTTACAGCACTCATCACGTTGAACGTGTGAGTGCTGTAAGGCTATGGCACAAATAGCCATTGAGCTGAGTGGTCAAAAGTGGCCTCGGTAGCGTAATAGGGAACGCAACTGCCCGGTAAGCAGAAGATGCGGGTTCGAATCCCGTCCGTGGTCCGACTTTTGCCCATAACTCAGCATTCTTGTGATGACTCCGAAATTGCTCGGCTCTTCGCCGCACCATCGCTATAACATCACTGGACACGCACCGCGTGCGCTCCACCGCTCTGCCATTCTCTTATAACTGGCATACCTACCAAACGAATCGTAGCGTTCAATTGATCAGAAGAACTGGAGCACTCAAAAAATGAGTTCGATGGTGCAAAAACATTACATCTCAGACACTTCTAATTTGACGATTAGCGAGCAAAACTCCCATAATCCAGCGCTGCACCTCAAAGAAACTGTTAATATTTACGAACAACTTGAGCTTAATCCTTCGACCACGTCAATTTTCTGTTCTTCTATGCATCCTCTCTTCTACATAGCGCCCTGTGCCCAGTGCTACACTGTACCTTCCAGCCTTTGACGCACGATGAGCGGTTCACCCAACCCGGGGTTCCACTACCCCTTGGAAGTGGTCATCCCGTGGCTCGTCCATGCCCGTTTTGCACTTTTTGATGCTTTCACTTCAACTGTCCTTCATCTGTCTACAGGGTTTCCCAACAGGATCATGCAGAAAAGTTCAACTTATTACGTGACTCTGTCAAAGAACAGATCGGGGAGGACATGGGCTGAAAATGAAACATGGAAAAAGGAACAGGAGGAACCACCTATTGGTAGAGAATGAACGTGCAATCCAGTTATGGCAACAAGTCCCTCCTTCCCAGGGAAAGGGCTTCCGACTAATTTACGAGTTTCCTGAATCAGCCTTGTAACGGACAGCTTCAATAATACGGTAATGAAAAAAGAATGACTAGCGATCACCGATCTGCAAATCGCATTGCTTGAAATAGATTGATGCCCGTTTAGAACTGTCAAGAACGACAAACCCACTTGACGCATTTTGACGCGTTCATCCTATCTGCGCTCTCCCTTTCACTCTCGCTCTGGCAAGCCTCCGCCCCTTCGGCAGAGCGTATAAAAGGGCGGCGGCACGATAGCGAACTCACCAGCAAGTGAAGGGAAAACAAAGGGGAAGAAACGAAGGGATAGGGAAGCAGACTGGTTGTGAGTCCGTGGTATGCCGTCATAACACGGAGGAGTCGTTGCATTTCAACGGGTGCTTTTGAGCCAAACAAATTTTTTAATGTACAGCTCAGAAAAGTGAAAACCTACCACAAAACATTCATTCTTCATAGGTTCCCTATATATGTATCACCCCATATATATAATTCGCTTCGTCTGTTTGTTTGTTTGTAAGTTTGTTTGTCTGTCCGGAAATTCGGTTCGACCTGAAGAACGACTTGGAGAGGTCGGGTCAAGGTGGGGATGGGTAGGGCATGGGACAAGAAATAAAAAGCACACTTGACCTATGGGAAGCCCCGCCCACAGTGGGCGGGGCACTCGCCGAAAGTTTGGGGTTCCGCAGAAAAATGTTCATAATTCGCTGGAGCAGCTTAAAGATTCACCCCATATATATAATTCGCTTCGTCTGTTTGTTTGTTTGTTTGTAAGTTTGTTTGTCTTATCCAAACATTCTCAACGCCCCATACAGATGTGATGTTCGTGTTTAGGAGGTCAAACTGCTCCAGTTGAAAAGTTTAGTGATTTTGGTGATTTCGAGTATTTTGGCGCCGGCGCCAGGCATTTCCGGGCTCAGCTAATGGGATATTTGTGTCCAGGAGGTCAAACTACCCCAGTTGACAAGTTTTCAGCGAACTTGGTGATTAGGGTATTTTGGCGCTGGCGCCTGTGGCACGGGTGCTAGGAGGTTTCGTGCCGAGCGGATGTGATAATCATGTTCAGAAGGGCAGACTACCCTAGTAGGCAACTTTTCAGCCAATTCTGCTCACGAAGAAAAAAGTCGGTCAAAAACTGGCCTGATTTCGGGTGATTTGGGCAGTAAAGGGTAAACACTGCCTAAAAGTCTTGAAAGCGAAGCACAATTGCCGGCACTTAAGTCTTTTCCTGCTGCAAGTAAGAGCAAGCTTGACAAAATAACGGATAAAAGTATTTTCTGAACTCGCAGAAGATGTTCCGAAAAAATGCAAAAATCCGAACCTGTCAAGGAATCGAACCCATGACCTCCCATCTATGAAGCAACTTACCTATCCACTACACCATCGACCACTAGAGACTGTCTGTGCTACGCAAAGGAGGATCGGCGAGTGCTATGCTAGAACACCCCCCCTAACTCCTCATAGAGAATCGTTCGGCAAATTTTGGAAGCAGATTTGAGTTCAGCGTCCCGAGACGTACACGTCGATATGCATCTCATCTTGAATGGCCATGGCGACCTGTTGACCTTCCCTGGTCAGTATTAACGCCGTTTGGTGATCTTGAGATGGTGAACAAGTGATAAAATATGGATAGTGGAAATAAAATATGGATAAATAGTGATAATAAAATATTGCTAGAAATCGCGAAAATCGATCTAAAGTGGGCGGAGCTAAGTGTGCGGAGCCTTATGCATCTTTGTGCAATTGCTTGTCTGTGAGCAATGTGAAGAGTGTGTTTGAAAGCGTCAACGTTGAGATAAGGTATGAAAATTAAATATAAAACAAACCTGTTAAAAAGTGGGCGTGGCCGGCTATGTGTCGGTGTGGCCATCTATGAATCATTGTAATGTGTGAAAAGCAGAAAATTCCAAGAAAATTCTTAGAAACGGAAGTTATGGTACACATTTTGGAAATCACGATCGCGCTAAAAAGTGGGCGTGATCGCAGAGGGCGGGCATGAGATGGCATCCAATAGGGTCAAAGATGGTTGAAATAGCAGTCCCTACACGATTGACTTATCATTTTGCGAAATTTGACATAGCGGCAAAAAAGTGGTCCACGAGGGACAATATGAGCCACCGGTGGCTCAAGCGGACGCAGCACGCCATTGTCCCACGTGGCGCTTTCCCGCAAAACGCGATTGTCGTCAACGTGTTAAACATTTCAGGTCTGTTCCGCTGTTCAAAATCAAGACTTCACCGTAGTAGACGACTATTGTACTGGATTGCGTGCTCTCCTCTATTTGAAAGGTGCGAAATCACTCAAGGATTGGGATGGACAGAGTCCTCCGACTGAGAAGTACCAAAAGGGGAAACCAGTCACTGTGAAAAATACGGTAAGATTACCATGGGAAAGCCACTGAAAATAGCACTGAAGATTTAGCCTGTTTAGGGATTACCACACTTTGGCAAGTACCGAGATGAACGGCACAGAATAGAGAAGAAAACCTTTGATGGCAGTCTTATACAGCCAGCTGACGACAGTTTCGCTTCGCGACCCGATACGGCAGTGGAAGTCATTCCCACTGTTCAGGTGAGCTACATTACGGCCTTATCCACTACCTTGCAGACTGGCCTAGGTTTAATTACCCCGTAGAGGACTGCAAATTGTCAGCCTGCCCAACAGAGGTCACGATTTATGCTTGTTCTATCATAAATGCACTTCTCGTCACATAAGCAGAGCCATGCCTTTTACTGTGCTCTCGATGTGCCTCTGTCTCCTAAGACGGTGAGGAAGGGGGGTGCGCCAATGAACCATTTGTAGGTCTGGTCTAGCTCTGCCCATTCTGCGAGTGTCTGAGTTGATCATATGAGGAAACTGCCTTCTAGTGGTCAATATTAATTGTTGCAAGATGTGATGGAGCAGCAATTGTTGCAGGATGTGATTGGAGCAGCTCTACCACGAATCGGACCCTATGTCACCTTGGATAATCAGTTACAAAAAGTTGCGCTCATAGATGACGTAAGTACAAAGGCTTAATTCTTGAGTAATTCCGTTAATCCTGGTTATTTCAGGATATGTGTATCAATTGTGGTAAATGCTACATGACATGTAACGATTCGGGCTATCAAGCCATTTCGTTCAACAAGGAAACTCACATACCAAAAGTTAATGAAGATGATTGCACTGGTTGTACTCTGTGCTACAGGTAAGCACAATTGAAGTAGGGTAAAATTGTTATTTATTGTCTTTCTCATGAAAAACATGTCTTGACATCCTCTGCGGCCTTTCAGTGTCTGCCCCATACCTGAATGTATTCAAATGGTACCAAGAAAAGGCCCGTGGAAAGCCCCATATCGTGGAGTGAAGCCGGGTTTCGAGCCAGGAACTCCTCGAGTTGTGAAAGTCAATGCTAGAGGAAAAGTGATTTTAGACGAGTAATGGTATATGGTTCTGTTGAAATATCATGTTGGTTCATAAAAAGTTTATATTGAAAGGGCGTTATTGATCAATTTATTACAGGCGATCAGAGAGTTCAATAGACATAAAAGTCTACACAATCTTTATAAAAATAATTCTCTTCAGGTTGGCGCCATTAGTCGACTTTCTAATGTGTGGTCGAGTCCCTCTGAAAAGTGGATAGATACGACCTTTTCCCTTCTGACTTTTGCTGCTGTTTTGCCTTCTTACTTGCATTTTCTCAATACATACGTGGATGAAATCCAGTACCAAGCTAGAACCCCCTGGCTTCTGAGCACCTTCCAGCACTGAACGTCACCCAGCCAAAGAATTTCTGTACGAGTGAAACTCCAAACATTCCGTAGGTTCACAAGACAGGATCCCAGCGAAATGCTCCCTCTATTTACAGGAACTAGTTTAGATGAACTCCGGTGTTCTAATACATGTGTTACTTCAGCTAACATGGAAAACCATAAGGCCCGACTTAAAACAGGTGGAAATTACAAAATTTATAACGATTATTTACTATTTTCTACCACTGCCGCATTGAATGAGCGAGTTAGGGATCCACAGTTCCTTTCGGAAACCTCGTTAAGGTACCACGGGCAGAGAGAATGGTTGGGTGGATGGATCTACATCGCACGGGATGCTGCGCTCCACCCACGGACTGTTGTGTTCAAATTTGCGCGCGCGGAACGCAGCCGTGTGATTTGAATACCGAATTCGCGCGCTTCCGCGCTTCGATTGCGTTGGGGCGCCTTTTTCTAGACCCTCTCAAGTGAAGCAACTTGCAATTTCTTAGACACGCGAAGGTAGTGGAATTGTGCAAGCTTTACGCAGTGCCTGTCTACGCGAGCAGATGTGTTTATGGGATTCAGGGAGGTCCATGGCCAACCACGCACTTGTTTACAGTCTTGTCCGTTGCGGATGATGGGGCGTGTCCGCCCCATCATCCGCAACGGAGAACGGCAACCGCACGCCGCCAGATCGTGCTCCGATTGCTGAGTGCGACAAGGGAAAACAACTGCTGGAAAACTTCTGATACGAACGAAATGGTAGTCCTGTCATCTTTCAAAAGAAAAAAAAACTGTAGGCCAAGCGCGGTCGCGCGGACACGCCCATCATTCGCAGCGAACCAGGGTATAAGTTGTACTGTTAGCCATCTACGTACTTACGAAATGATGTCAACTTATTAATATTTCAGTTAATTCTGGATTAGTTAAATTAGTTAATTCGACATAGGGAACTTCGCAAAATGGACAGAACCATTCTGGTTGAAATGGCGGTCCGTCGAATAAAGTTTCAATCGATATACACCAGCCAATGAAATCGATTAATGCAAGGATGGTAAGGCTCACTGGCGAGTGTGCCTAATTTGTAAAATTGGTCACACGAATTCACGCGCTTTGGCAAGGTACAAAGAGCGAGACATCCCTTTGAGGGTCCATTGAGGGGGTCCTTGAAAAAGCGTCATCAGGATGGGCCCTACTGATCACAGCAGTTTTGCCAGCATTATTCAACTATTACTACCCCAAAAACTCGAAATTTTCTGGTGAAACTTTAATTCGGTGCCCTGATCACGAACTGCCATTCGCGATCGACGCTGGGGCCATTTGGCGTAGCAAAGCGCCAATTTGGCGCCACCAAGTCGACTTCAATCAAAGTCGAAAAGAAGGCTGTTCTGATTATGGCATTCAATTCTCGGCACCAGCGCCAGCGCTCCTCTTTAGCTGAGGCTGGAAGAAGGAGTGAGTTCCTACAGGCTAGGCTCGGCCTTAGCAGAACGCAGATGATCATGGTGTCCATCCATTAGGGTAGCGCAAAAATGAATGTCGTATTCGCAATCAAGAAGTCAAGCCCTCGAATACAAGTTTACAGTGGATTCGGATCTATATTATTTTGGCGCCGGCGCCAGGAACCTTCGAATCAAGCGAACGTGATGCCTGTGTTTGCTTGCCAAACTACCCTCAGGGACAAGTTTTCAGCGGATTTGGTAATCCAGGGTGCCTTGGCGCCGGTGCTGCGGGCGCCAGGCGACTTCAGGCGAAGGGGATCGTGCCGCTTCTCTTCATGAGAAGATACAGGTGTGCACTTTATCGCCCCTGTCGAGGAGGCAAACATATTGGTTTCCTTCGTCTTCCACACGACATCCTTCAAAAAGCTACTGTTCAAGGGAAAATCAGCGAGGAGAAACTTGCCACTCTACTTCCTTTGCCCACCCTCTGTCTGGTACTTGAAGTCGGAGCCAGGACTTCTAATGCTATAAGCGATAATGATAATAAAGAAAGAACGAGGGCCGTAGACTTATACCTCCACCAGTTGATGCTACCAAGCTCCTTTATGCTTGCTTGACACTGCTATTGATTGCGCGAATATCGCTGACCCGCGTTGCGCAGCGGCTCTCAAACTATAAGTAAAGCTGACTTGACCTGACACAACGCGGCGCGGCAACGCCTAGTCGATCTCGTCGTGCTGCGATTGCTCCGCACGCGCCCCATGGTGGTCTTCTGTTTCATCGCTTTACCAAGAGTTGGGGATTTTAGTCGAGTCCGTACAATCCCCCTTTTTTTGAGGTTGGTACGACCCCCCCCCCTCCCCCCTTCGGCCCTCTGTCCCTCCTCATCGAATCGAGCGGGCGGGGGGGGGTAAATAGCACATGTGAAACAGGAAAAGTCGCGAGACAATACGACCCCCTCTACCAATTCTCAGATTTTCCCCAACTTCCTGCCACTTTTTCCAAAATTCCCGAAAACTTCCCTACTTTTTCCCAAAAATTTTGCTGTCGAGCGGGAGCTGGGGAGGGGTATACTACGCATGAAACAGGAAAATCACGAAAAGTCACCCCACCCCTCTCTTAGAAGGCCAAAAAGTGAATACGACCCTCCCTTTTACAACATCCATGAAATGAGAAAAACCAACTATCAAAATAAATTTTTCCAGCCCGAATACGACCCCCATCTCCTGGCGGCCAAAAACGATCCCCTCCCCCCAACAACGATGTGCGCTGCACCACATGCAACCAAGGTAAGGAATATCAACATTCACTAATTCTCAAGACAAGCTCCTTATGATTAAACCTATACCGACTATAACAGAAGGACAGAAGTCCCCATGAAAACCGACCTAGTAAAATACAAGTCTTCTGCGCGCTCCTCCTTTTCTATTTACAGCAACCACACGTAGTAAATTCATGTTACACTTCGCGGTGTGAGCGATTCAGTCGTGCGATTTGGCAACTATGTGGTCTTGCAATGTCGCAACTGAAACCGATCGCGCTCCATCGCTGGTCTCATTGGACCGCTGGTTGCCTCAGAGTTCTACCCACCGCAGGAAAAAGCAGTTGGCAACGTGCGCTTAGCCAGCAGTGAAGCACTGTCGATTCGCCGCCCTCGTGGAACAGCCGACATAACCAGACTGCGAAGCGTGAAGCGTGAAGCCTGAAGGGAAACTACGCCGAGAATCGTCGTCAATGAAAAAATTACGTTGATTTGCTGTTTAAACGAAAGGCTTCACCGAAACTTTTAGTTACTTATCATAAAGCCCACTCCAATGAACTTCTTGATTTTCATATGACAAAAAGAAAATTATATGAAAAGAAAACTCACCATCACATCACTCTCGACTTCATCACTTTCTATGCAGCCACCTTGAAATCTGCCATTCACCTAGAACACAACACTACAAACCTGACCATTCTTCCCATCGCAGAATATGAACGAAAAAACGGATAAGAGAAGAAAAAAATCGATAACATGGGTGTTCCTTCAATGCAAAAAAATTCAGTCAAGAAAATTAAAAGTTCGCCCTTTTTCAAATAAATCCTTCAAAAAAGAAGGAATTTGCCTCTAAGTAGATCGGAAGTAATCGACAATTAAGCTAAGCTCTTACCCGACGTGGATAAGGAGGTGGCACAACTCGTGGAGGTGGTTCGAATGGGAATCGATTCAAATATCTCGCGGAAACTCGATGGTTTTCTCGCCTGAAATCGTTTATAAACGAAGTATTTCGATTAGCAACACCCAGAGCAATGTGATTCTACTGAAATAATCAAATACCGTGTTACTGATCGATTTTGTCGACGAAGAAGTCTCATTTTTTGACGCCTAAAATTGACCTCAGGTAGAAGAATTGACTAGTATGAAAATTGACTTTGTTTGTTGTCATTGAATCATACTATGACAATTCTTATGAAGCATTGCCGGAGCAGAAGGGGCGTCCCGGCGACAGCTGCGTACTGGGCACTTCCTGTATTAATCACGCGTCCTTGCCTTTCATCCTTTCATTCGTTTAGACCCTCGCCGCCCTCGTGGTTACGCTCCTTGTGGCACTCAGAGATCGGCTTTAGATATAATACTAACCGTATTATCAGATGATTTCGACACCAGTGGGTCCTTCCTTGGCACCTGAAACTGATCCCATGAGGGAAGCTCGTGAACCAGAAACAAAACAAGGTAAAGCGTTAAGATTGTACATGTGCAGACTCTATTTCGACCTCAGCTCTCAGAATAGGAGCCCTGGAAGTCTCGAATACATGACGGGTAAAGCGCATAAGGTGCAGGTGTTCACAGTTTTTTGTCCACACCCTCTTTTGAGACGCCACAATCACCCCTAGTAAAATATGTCATCCTCCGCACTGCCCTGATTGAAAGAACTCGATATGGGCACGACAAATTTTCCCACAGTGAAGTGGAATTGTTTAATGTGATAACATACTTACCGTTTTCGGCAATGGCGGAGGAACAGGGCGCGTTCCACAGGAACGCTTTGTGCCAGTTTTATTTGGAATCACTCTCGAATTTCCTCGAATCACGCTATCATCCTCTTTTTTTTCCATTAAGAAGACATTTCCTGAACTTCGTGAGAATGGAGAACTATGAAGCTCACACAAAACTACCGTTTGTAGCAAAAGCAGACTTTAAACGTATAGGGAACAGCAGATGTTAATCACACCTACTCCAGTCACCTCGATAAGGGGAAGTTAA